TTTATTATTCAGGAGAGTGTATGCTGAGCCTTCATTTTGAGGGGTTTTAAAGACTGGGCGCTTAGGGGAGGATCTCAATACAATTCATCAGCTTTATGCTGGTATACCAAAATGAGGTTTGTTCTCTTAACTTCATTTGTCCTTGGGTGTGGTTAACAAATGACACTAATTGGATTTCTGCTGTCTGTCTCCCTGAGTAGGGTGATTTAAGCCAGCAGTCACCAACTGGTGGTCCTCGGACCACTGGTGGTCCGTGAGATCCGAAAGGTTGGCGACCGCTGATTTAAGCTATTTACCCTCTGGCTGAGGAGGAGAAGTGTCCCTGGTTTAGGGAAGATAGGATTTACTGGATGGCTGGGGACTGCTTGACATCTAGATTTTCTAGATGGCAGCAAACTGCTGTTTAACTATCCGTTTCCCTATTTCGTCCTTCTCCTGGTGTGTCATTTATATAACTTCTTTTTATTTTTCGTACAAAACTCTAACTTTCACAGAATTTTCTTCCTTTTTAAGGCTGAATAATGTTTTATTATCTGGATGGACCACATTGTGTTTGTCCATTCATCTGTTGATGGCTATTTGGGTGTTTCCACCTCTTGGCTATTGTGAATAATGCTGTTATGGACGAGGGTGTGCAAATATCTGTTTGAGACCTTTAATTCTTCTAATTCCACCCAGAAGTGGAATTGTTGGGTCGCATGGTAATCCTATATCTCATTTTTTGAGAAACCTCCCAACTCTTTTCCATAGCAGCTACCCCCATTTTTTATCCCCATCAGCAGTGAATGAGGGTTCCAAATTTCTCCACATCCTCCCCAATACTTGTCTTCTGACTTTTTGAGTTGGTCACCCTATTACTACTGTTCTCATAATGACCGAGGTGTCTGGGTGGCCAGGCAGGGCTCTGGCTGCCCCAGAACCACCTCTCCCATGTCCCTGTCTCGTCCCGCACTATTTTGGGCCCAGTGACAGGCAGATCTGCTCCGTGCCTGTGCAAGGGGCAAGCCTTGGCCGGTCTGCCAGGTGCTTTCTCCTGGTCCTGCTCCAGCTCCCACCTGTTCTCCAGGACACAGTGACCTCGGTCACGGCCTGTCCCTGAGGCTGCCTCTCTCCATGGCTCTCCACTCCAGACCTTGCACGCACCACCCCAGTCAGCAGACATTATCTGCAAAGGGGCAGAAAGTAATTATTTCCGGCCTTGCAGACTAGAGGATCTCTGTCACAGCTACTCAGCTCTGCCTTCGTACTTTGAAAGCAGCCATATGGGTGTGGCTTTGTGCCAATAAAACTTTATTTATAGCCTAACCGGTTTGGCTCAGTGGATAGAGTGTCGACCTGGGGACTGAAAGGTCCCAGGTTTGATTCCAGTCAAGGGCATGTACCTTGGTTGCCGACACATCCCTAGTGGGGAGTGTGCAGGAGGCAGCTGATCGATGTTTCTCTCCCATCGATGTTTCTAATTCTCTATCCCTCTTCATTCCTCTCTGTAAAAAATCAATAAAAAAAAACTTTATTTATAGACACTGAAATTTGAATTTCATATTGTTTGCATGTGTCATCCTATATAATAAAGAGCTAATATGCTAATTAGACCAAATAGCAGAACGATCGTCCAGATGACCTTCTGGACGAAGCCAGGGCT